GAATGGAGTCAGTGGACTGATGGGGATGAGAGCTTAAGTGTAGTGGGTTCAAGCATGAATGGAGGTGCAGAAGTAAAAACAAGGGATCAAAGAAGTTAGGTGGCATTTGAAAAGGAATGTAGAGCAAAGGGTTTCTTTCTTTCTTTCTTCCTTCCTTCCTTTCTTTCTTTCTTTCTTCTTTCCTTCCTTCCTTCCTTCCTTTCTTTCTTTCATTCATTCTTCCTTTCATTCATTCATTCATTCATTCATTCTTCCTTTCTTTCGAGTATTACAGCATGTTTGCTTATAGGAATAATCTCCTAGGGAGTGAAAAACTGATGATGCAGGAGAGAGAGGAATAATTGTAGAGCAAAGTCCCTGAGTAGGTGAACCAGGTCTGGTAGCTGGTGCACAAGTCAGGGAGATACATAGAAGCAGGCACAGCACATCTATTTCTACAGGGGAGAAGACAGAGTATGTGGGTGCAGCTTCAGGCAGAATGGCAGAGTTAGTGGCCGGAGGATGTGGCATTTCTCTTTGCCTTTCTATTTTCTCCATGAAATAGGCAAGGACATCAATTGGAAGTAAGGATTTGGGGGATGGTGTTTGCAGAGAAGAAAATGAAAATAAGTGGAAGATTCAGTTGACTGCAGGACAGTGGTAGGAATGCCAGGCATTGTTGGGGGCCTGGTTGAGATCTATGTTCCATATGAAATGATCTTCAAAGTGAAACCTTTGATTGTGTTTTTCTCCTCCATCTACAGTCCAGCTCCTCTCTAAGCACTGAGAACTATATCTACTACTGTTAATCCATACATCAGTCTGTCAACTATTATTTAATTTATTTCTTAGGCCTTAATGTACATTACAATTCATTCATTCATTCAATCATATTTATTGAGTTCCAGGCACCATTTTTGGTACTGGGTTGACAGCAATGAACCAAACAAATCTGTCATTTCAGGGAACTTATTTTCGATATCCTAAAAGACATGAGTCTTCATCTTTGGTAAACAATTCCTGAGTGAAAACCAATTAGGAACTGGAAGTTTCCACATTTAGGTACTCAGAATTTGAGTCACTTAAACGCTTAGAAAGAATACCAAGGTCCTGATACAGATTTGGCCCAGTAAAGGAATTAAGGACATGGGGCTGCCACAGGGAATGCACCTTTATTTCTTTCCCACTAGTGCTGGACTAGCTCCCTGGAATCCAGCCAAGTGCAGCAGACAGAAGAGTAATCTGCTGGAATTTTTGTCTCTAGTGTCAGTGCAAGGATTCATCATTATCTCCAGAAGAGCATGAAGTAATTGATTATCATAACAGAACAGAATCTGCTCCATCCAGATTCTCAGGACTGCATAAACCCTAGAAGATACAACTTCCTTTGAACTTAAGAATATGTCCAAAATGCAAACGGAGCATACACTAAAAAGGGCTTAATAACTAACTACATCTCTTCCTTTCATCTTCCTTTCTTTTTGACCTATTCTGGCTTTTCCTCTTTTATTTCTTTCCCCTTTGCTCACTTATTTTCCTCTGCTTTCCATTTTGGATAAAATAAAGGGTCCTAGAACCACCAGCTCAGGAAACCACTGTTTGACCATAGGCAGTGGTCACTTAAATTTTAGGAAGAAAGCTGGCTTTAACTGGAACCAGGGTTTCCTCTGACTCTGGGCATGTAGGTGCAAAGCAGAAGAATAGAGAGTAGGAGCATGGACCATGAGTTTCCTCCAGGAAGAAATTTGGGTCCTCTCTTTGCGATCCCAGACTTCATAGCTCTGTTAGAAAGAACAAGAAGAAAGTGTTTGTCTATAGGGTCCAGAAGGGAAAAAAAAGAAAGAAAAACAGAAAGAATGGTGTAATGACCTTTGTGTTCTACTCCTCGCACTTAGACACTTAGATACTTCTTAGCTATTGTTTCAAAAAGGGAACATGGGAACATGACTGTTTTTGTTCACTACACACAAGTAGCATGTTCCTCTGCCATATCTTTCTTTGTGCAGTAGGTGTCAGCCTCATACAGCCTTTCTCTTGTTAAGTTCATATTCATAAAAAAAATGACCCTCTTACCCACCCTTTCCTGGCTAAAAGAATCACTTTCTTCCACGTTAAGTGTGCAAATCAACAATAAACAGTCACCCAGATACTGGAAACAGAGCTGTCTGTACTAAAGCAGTTGGGAAATGGCCAAACTGGGAACTGTGTGAAAGGGTTGACAAATGTTGGAGGGGAGGGCAGATTAAGTCCCGTGGGTCTCATGGAACAGATGTTAAGTTTTGGTATCAAGGTGGCTCTCTAAAAGGCACAGTTATGACACCAACTCAGATGTGGACATGGCCCTGATCAAAGGCTTTCTGTTTCCCTCAGGTGAAAAAGTTGAGGTATCAGCAATTAGCTATAGTGTCCTTGGGAAAATCTCTCTGTGTAAACTATTGACATCCCACTTGCCCAGAAATAGATTGTCTTGTCTTTGGCCTCAGGTAACATGCTTCTCTGAGGCTCAACTTCTTAATCTTCATAATAAGAAAAAGTAACTACCCTGTCTACCCAAAGTATTTTATAAAGAAGAAAAAAACCTGAGCTATTGTGCATAAAACAGTTTGTAGACTCTAAAACACTATTTAAATGTGGAAAGCAGGACAAAAGATATATAGGCAAATGTTGAATAGAGTTATAAGTATAAAATAATTCAGTGCTCAAAATTTCAATAAGGAACTTCAGTTAATCATTTCTATAGATTTTTTTCCAGCATATTACACTGAGACTTTTTTACTCTCTGTGTTCAATGTTAGTCATGTGGAATTTTGACACACCTAGGGTTTATTTCACAAAAAAGATTCCAACCTGAAGAGAGCCATGTAACATGAATAAATAGTCCTGTTGAAAGAGGGAAGAGTCCTTAGTACTAAGTATTTTAGTGATACTAAATACTTAGTAATAAATACTAAGTATTTATACTTAGTACCACTTCACCCCAAGAATGTATTTGATCCCATAACTCTCCTTAATTTCTTCAATCATAAATTCAGCTGGCTAAAGCTTACCATTCTGTGGTTGATTTGCACATTCATGTTTTATCTCATATTAAATCTGTATCATTTAAATTGGAAATATAAATATTATGGAAAGAACTCCTATTTGAGAAGGAGAAAGATTATTTGTTTTGTACCTGAATGTGGAAATTTGAGCGGAAGTCTTCAAATCATATTGTTTAAAAATGAATCCATCAAATTTTTCCTCAATGCTTTGTCCTTCAGGAAAGGCCAGAGGCAATTCAAAATTGCCATGACTCCTCCCCTCCCATGGAGTTCTGTGCTATATATTTCCTTATTTGTCTGTTCTTTTTATTAAAAATCCTACTTATTTATTTATTTATTTATTTTGCTGAGGCTTTCAATTTGCTGTATCTTGAAGAAGAGATTGAACTCCCAACCTTTGAAACTTCTTAATACTTGCTGAGTGTTAAGGGGCAAAGTGGAAATACTGTGGATTGGACTTTATCTTATTTGGAAAGTCTTTGCTACAATAGCTCAACCATCCCTACTTTAAGCAATTAAGTATTTATTTTCCTTAAAATCTGAAGTCTTTTGGAATATTATCCCAAAAGTGAGGCCAAATTTCTCTACTTACTGGTCAGTGTGGGGACCTTTATTTTTTCAGACTCACTTTAAATTTTTTTTTTTTAAAATTCATGATAGACATAGAGAGAGAGAGAGGCAGAGACACAGGCAGAGGGAGAAGCAGGCTCCATGCCGGGAGCCTGACACGGGACTCGAGGATAGCGCCCTGGGCCAAAGGCAAGCGCTAAACCGCTGAGCCACCCAGGGATCCCCTCAGACTCACTTTGAAATCAAATGCTTTTGCATAATTTATTTAATATAGATTCAAAGTAATTTTATTTTGGGTTTATAGAGCGGTCTGCTCTATTGCTTCTTGCTGCTTTTTCAAAGTACTTTACAATTATAATAGATATCATTGCTCTCACCATAAGGCAGGAGTTCCTGGGTGAAATTCTTCAGGGACGCCAAGACACAATATCAGTATGGTAATAAGTTGGCCATCTCTTTTTTTTTAATTTTATTTATTTATTCATAGAGACAGAGAGAGGCAGAGACACAGGCAGGCATCATACAGAGAGCCTGATGTGGGACTCGATCCAGCGTCTCCAGGATCACGCCCTGGGCTACAGGCGGCGCTAAACCGCTGCGCCACCGGGGCTGCCCAAGTTGGCCATCTCTTAACACCAGCAACCTGCTTTATGATCAGAAAGGTGCTGAAAGCTCCCCACTTTTTCCCCCAGGCTGTCTCTCAAGTAATCTATCAATGCAAAATAAGGTGGAAGCTGTGAAAGTTTCCATTCTACCAGATTTTGTGTCATTCTTTCCTGGGTCCAGCGTGGGAGTCATTTTTGTCCTGTTTTAGCTAACCTAAGTAAGAGCTGTGAACAGCAAGTCTACCACCTCTTCCTGGGGATTGTTTCACCTATGCTCTTCACAGCTCACAATTATACCAAATGAACCTCTTCTCCATTATTCTTAATTCTTTCCATTCCCCACCCCACCCCCAAGCATTTCCTACTTTCAGAAACTTGAAGACAAGGTCCTTATAACCTTCTCTCCTGTATCCTCAAATGATCCGGACATAAATATTTTAGCACAGTCGCCAGTGTATTTCTGATGGCATTTAAGTGTCTGCACAACCAGTCTCTTATTTATAAAGCTCACAAATGCTGTGTGACCTGTAACGCTATACCAGCTAATGAACTCTCCCAGAACAGTTGACATGGAAGGATTTTACTTCCACTTCTCACAAGGAGAAAAATGGAGCATGAGAGACGATTACAAAGCAGAATATTTTAATCCATCTTCTCGGTGATCTTTGGGGGCTGTGTGCTAATATTTAAATTGAAGAGGAGGGAGGAGACGGACAGAGGATGGAGAGACCGTGGAGGTGGGGGCGGAGCTAGCTCGGCACATAAAACCCCAGGCTAAAAGGGAAGCACAATCGTGTGTGCCAGAGTCACTCTCCCATAACCTAGAGAGATGGGGCAGTCTGTGCCGTGAGGTCGGAGCTCAGAGGAAAGAAAACAAGAACAGGAAAACAAACAAGACATAAGAGGACATCTGGAAAAAGCAGAAGACAGAAGACAGGGAGGGGAAAACAAACCCACAGCAGGTGGAAACAAGATCTAGAGCAAACCGGTCTGGTCCACAGTTGTTTTTCTGGAAGAGAAGAAAATACCGGAGGATTGCCTTTTTTTTTTTTTCCCCCTTCAGTTAATGAAAACTCTTATCTTCATCGTAAAAGAAAGGTCTAAGGGGAGGTAAAGACAATCTTTGTTTCCTTAGAGGCAGAGCTGAGTGAAACCCAGACTATATCTTTGAAGCGTCTAAAATAAGCCATTGCCTGGTACACATTGCAGAGCCATCCTGGTCTCTGAAGATCTACATCCCCTTCAGGAAAATTCCAGCCGGAGTAGCTGGTACAGTTCTATTTTTATATTCAAATATCTGTGTCTCTTTTCGCCCCCTTTTAACAACCCTTCCGTTGTTCGTCAGCACAAGTGACAAGAAAGTGTCAGTGCGGAATAGGAATATTTTTGGTTTTCTCTTTTATCTGCCTGAGTCTTTTTCAAGAGGGTAGGAGTGGTCCTTATTTCAGAAAAGGACATTTCAATTTGAAAGACGGTCTCTTAAAATATATTTGCACCCACAAGTATTTAGAAAGGGAGATACCTTTTGGAGGTGAAAACCCTGTGAGAAAGATGGAAAAAGGAGCCAGGCACCGAAACAACGCTGAAAAGAACCACCCAGGTGGGAGCGAGTTGGAGGCCAGCCCGGACACTGGTTCCACAGGGGGCGGAGTAGCCCTGAAGAAAGAGATTGGATTGGTCAGTGCTTGTGGTATCATTGTAGGTGAGTCCAATTCCTTTTTCTACCCACCACTCTTTCCCTTCTCTGGTGGTCCTCTTGTGGAATCTTAGCCCTTCAAAAGTGCTATTTTTGCTTCCTACTTCCTTAGAAAAGGATTGTCATTCACCTGTGCTGCAACCCATCCCCCCCCACATTTGAGGGGTCTAGGAATCTGTGTATGTCATCCATCTCTTCCTCCAAACTAGGCTGAGCAGTTCTGTACAGTGTTCATAGAATGGAGCAATAGGGCTCACACACCTGGCTGATGGTCAACAAGCCTGGGAGCTTGTTGAAAATACAGGTCTCCTGGCTCCACACTTGAAAGTTCTGATTCCATTGACTTACAGTGGGGCTAGGGAACCGGAATTTCCAGCAAGCTTTCATGTAGCCATCTCTTTAGCAGACTGTGAACGGGCTTTTGAGACCTACTTAGATATTCTGTTGTTTTACATCCTGAGAAACTGTGGGCCTAAGGGATGTGTAATAATGAAAATAGCTACAAGAGCAGTGATTAACGCCTTACACTTCTGTAGCTTTTTCATCTTATCCAGCACTCCCACTCTGTAGATGTGACAGGGCTGTTGTTCCCATTTCACAGAAGAGGAAATAAACCATAGAAGAAAAGGAGAGATTAGATGTATTATGCCTCTTCATAAATGTAGAGTTTGCAATTTCTTTGGTTCCCTAGAGAGTCCACTGATCTCTTAACATTCATAGAAGACCTTATGAGGCTCTCAAATGGAAATAGGAGTAACTAGAAGGACTAGAATGTGGAGTCAAGGGGAAACTGATGGATAAAATGTGTCCCAGCTGGAAGACTTTGAAGCTGGGGGGCCTGAGTTTCCCTAAGAGTGCCAGTACAAGCCACTCCAATCCCCTAACCACAGTCTGCTAGGCAGAGGATCCCAAATATGGTTCCATCTCTAGACAATACATCTTCCTCTTTCCAGAGAGGCCCTGGAGATGGATGAGCAATAGCTCATTACTGTCCTTAACTCAGAGGGTGAGCGTTTCTTTTGCTGTTTTTGATAGAGGGCTTTACCCTCTGCCCAGCGAAAGGGGCATGGGTAGGTCAGGCCAGGTATGTTTGTGTCATCTCTCCAAAGTTCCTTTTGAAGGCTTATTGTGTCCTGTTGCCCACGAATCAGTGTCTCTGGATGAGCCCATGTCATATGCAGCAGCACAGAGGCATTTTGTCACCTGAGCAATAGTGACACTGGAGAACACCCTTGAAATCAAATAAAATCAGTACAGTATTCAGATAATCCTCTTCACCTCTACACCCAGAATTCAGTGATCATGTTATATCTGCTCTGTTTTCAAAATGGAATCCCATTTTATCTAATTCTCTGAGTCTGGGAAATTTTCCAGGCATTTACAGTTATAAGAAAGGTAATGTTACTTTTAAAATTACAGTCATAATCTGAATCTCTTATTACCTTTTCTTTGCTTCTCCTTTATCTCAATTGCTCTAAAAAATGAAATCAGCAAAGTATTCGATATGTACAGCACATGCCAATTTAAGGTCTATAAATAGCCCAGAGCCTGTTAACTCTTTCACCAGTTTAACTGATAGGATTAAGCATTTTCCTCCCTTTGGGAAGGTTCTGATTCATACCTAGATGTGCACACCCACATGCACACAAGCACAATTAAACCTCCTTCCTGCCTCAGCCTTGCTCACCCACTTCTGTATATGCTCAGGTATTCAAGGTAGAGGATATTTTCATATATACCAAGGTTGTTCTTGTCTCTTTCTTCAATAGCTTAATAAATATTGAAGAAATACAATCTCAGTTGGGTGAATGTTACTACTGATTTGTTTACAACCTTACAGATTGTGCTTCAGTGTGAGAATAGTCCCAATATTCCCATTGATGTTACAATGACAAGAATAATAACTCTGTGGTGAAGAGAGATCCCAAATAGGTGATTTCAGAGAAAGCAGGATGTTTTTCCAAACCATGAGAGTCTTTGCAGTGTTGATAGGCACTATTCTACCTCCATTTAAGCTAGAGTGAGACACAGAGTTCCCCTTTAGGACGATATGGGGGCAAAATCCTTTCTGCTTCTCCTCCTGCACAGTTGTTGAGTTGCAGATGTACTGAGCAGCTGCTTTGTCCTCTTCTAGTGGAGTTTCTGAGTAGATGATAATGATTCAAGTCTTTTCAAGACCAATTGCAAAAATAGAAATGGCATTTTCCATGCAGAATTCAGTGATCTTCCAACACTGTGGAAGAGAGAAAATTAGGCAAAAAGAGAAAGGAAATTTCCTAAGTAGGTCAGGTGATACAGTATGGGAAAGTAGCATTTGCCTCAAATCTATCTATCTCATACCCAATTGACTTAGGGGAATAAGTTAAACTATGTGTTTCATACAAGCTCATAAAACTTCATTGACAATCATCGATGATCTAAATTAGTAATAACAGAATGGCAGGTGTTAGGGAATATAGAATGAACTAATAGAAACTCATGCCCCAGAGTTACCTATAATCTGATTGGGGAGATGAGATTCATATACATTAAACAAAGAACATTAAAAATTAAAATGATATGTCTGAGTTGTGTAGGAGCTGAATGAGGTCAAAGTTAGGTGAACGGTAGGAAGTGTAAGAAGAGAGTTGTCACCCAGCACTAGATTAAGAAATATATTGAAGGATATGGGGAAAGATGGAATGGAGAAGATGATTCTAGGAGATTTCATAGGTAAAAGAATAACAATTAAACAGTTAATCCCTTGAGAAAAAAAAATATCTTCTACATCTTTGAATCTGTGGTGCTTAGCCTGACATGGAACAATCACTCAAATGATTATTGTACTTAATTGGCTCTTGGACAAAAATTTGAATATGGTAGTAATAAGAAGTGTTTACCTGAAGGACTATTGGGAACTTGGCTTGAAGAATCAGCCTGGACAAGTAGGTTGAGCTGTTTTTTTGTTTTGTTTTGTTTTGTTTTGTTTTTGTTTTTAAGTAAGATTTACACTCAAGTGGGGCATGAACTCACAATCCTGAGATCAAAAGTTGCATGCTCCACTGACTGAGCTAGCCAAGAATTCCAGGCCATTTTAATTTTTTAACATCATCTTTGCCCTAAGCTAACCAGATTATTGCTCTCTGTGTACTTGGCTAAGGGAATCTCTTGGCAGCAAATGAACTCAGATTTCCCCATGAATGTGCAGTCCCTCCAAAATCCAAAGAGAGTGTGATGGAATGGCAAAATTTATCTATCAGTGATACCCAAGCTACTATTAAGAGCTATCATTATTTTTTTAAGATTTTATTTTTTAAGATATCTTTCACTTAATGTGGGGTTCAAACCTACAACCTTGAGATCAAGAGTTACACACTTGGGACTCCTGGGTGGCTCAGTGGTTGAGCATCTGCCTTTGGCTCAGGGCATGATCCCAGGATCTGGGACCGAGTCCCATATCAGGCTCCCTGCATGGAGCTTGCTTCTCCCTCTGCCTGTGTCTCTGCTTCTCTGTGTGTGGTGTCTCATGAATAAATAAATAAAATCTTTAAAAAAATAAAAAAGAGTTACATGCTCCACTGACTGAGCCAACCAGGTGCCCCAATGTTATTAAGCACTTATTATTATAGGCCAGAAACTTGTACAATTACCCAACATCAGTATCCTATTTATCCCTCACAATACCCTTCTTGGGAGGCACTTCTTATCCCTTTCTCCAAATAAGAAAATAGAGGTTCAGAGGGATAAGCAACGTGTTGACATTTGCCCACCTAAAAAGTTATTGAAGGCGAGATTTAAACCTGGAGCTTGTCTGAGTCCTGAACTGAGCTTTTTCTATGTTTATGTCCTAAAAGGATGCTTTCGTTTAGACCCTGGGCAGAGGTCCTTATTTGTTTTTTACAGATGAAGCAGTTAGTGGTGTGTTCATAGCAAAGGAGTGTCCCAGTGTAAAGGGGAGCTAAACAATCAGCTGGAGATAGAAGGTAACATTCCTGGTACAATTGCAGTAAGACTTGGGGCAGGGGCAGCCTGAGGTGGTGTTGGCTCAGCTTCTATAGGGTCTGACCAGCACAGACGATGCTCCTATTAACTCTCTCACATGCCCACCTTTCCTCTGAGGACCAGAGTTCTCCCCAGCCATGGTCGAGGTACCCACAGAGTTTCTGGCTATTTAGATCACTTTATACCAATACCATATTTAGGTACATACCCAGAATCTAGGTCTGATGGCACCAGGCCAGCTGCAGAGCCTAAAGAAAAAATATTCATATTATGTCAGACCATTTTGTTTTTAGCACAATATATGTTTATGAATGGACATGGTATACTTGCTGCAGAGCAATACTGAATGCAGGTCTAGCTGTTAGACCACTCTTTCCCACTAACAGGATTTAAAAACAAACAAAAAAAAAAGCCAGCCTACCTGGCTCAGTGAGTGGAGCATGTGACTCTTGATCTCAGGGTTGTGGGTATAGTGGGTGAGCCCCACTGGATATAGAGATTCCTTAAAAATAAAATCTTCAAAACAATAAGATAAATACAATAAAATAGTATTTATTGAGCTCTAAATGCCAGTTCCTGTGCTATGAACTTTTTATGTATATTACCTTATTTAATCCTGACCACAATCCCATGGAAGTAGATATCATAATTATCTCTATTTTTATACATGGGGAACTGAGTCACAGAGCTGGTAGGTAATTTGCCCATGGTCACACAACTGATCACTGAGATGGTCTAACTCCAGAGCCAAAGCTCTTAGCCATTCCTAATTTCTAATCAGCAACTGAGACAGAAAGGAATAAAGCCAGTGTGTATTGTGTGGCAGGGGATTAGACAAGGGAGGACCATACCCCTGCTATCAGAGTCAGGAAAGACCTTGAATGTCTGATATTAAAGGGTTGGGGGGAAATCTTTTTTTAAAAGAGTATTTGTCAACAAAGAAGTGGGTATCTGTGATCATACTACAATGGCATTGGGCTGATTTGGAAATTTTTCAAGTTCAAAAGATTTTCAAACCCATGTGT